TATCTATCTATCTATCTATCTATCTATCTATCTATCTATCTATCTATCTCTGGTATTCAGCTTTGTTCGGGTATTTTCTCACATCATTGTAGTTGTGCTTTTAAAGTTGTAGCAACGTTTCGGCAGAATCTCATCTGCCATCATCAGGCTTCTGTATTGTGTAGTTTTTAATAATCTCTGTAAAATCAACAGAATGTGAATGCAATTTTAGAGGAAGTGATGAGTTATTGGATGGGCAGATATAATAAGAACTAGACAATCCCAGTTATATTCGGGTCCAAAGCCCTGAAAGGTTTTAAAGATGACAACCAGCACCTTGAACTGCATCTAGCAGAAAGATAAACATATCTCAACATAAAGTGGAAACGTTTTTCTAAAGGATGTAAATTATGTATCTGTAAACTATCTTGTTCCATACAGTTGTTGTACACTGAAACAAAATCTGAACTAATATAACACTGGCAAATTATTACCCAAGTAGCTATTTATCAGGCATAAAGATAATAGGGAAAACAGAATAACTCAAGATGAGTTGGTTTTCAGATTGTTGAGCACCTCTATACCAGCTACTACCTTGTTTTCTCTATCCTCCAGCCACCATCAACATCTAATGCCAGCAATGTACAATATTCTCAAGTGTTCTAAATACAGTATCTTTCCCATTACCACATATTTCATCTCTCTCCATTTTATGCTTGCTCTGGGAAATCTCATGTCCATCTCCATCTTAAAGGTAGAAAAACTATTGCAAAACCCATCTTTGTAGAAATAGCGCAGGTCTGTTTCCAAATTGCACATGTTTCTTGGAAGTAGTACTCTTTCTACTCTTCAATGATTCCCCAAAGATCAAGTCACTTGAAAGAAGTTATACTATTTGTCAGGCAGAACATCAAGGCAAACAGATATTTATTTAATTCAGTCACAAATATTGGTTTTCCAAAAAACAAAACAAAACCTCAATTTCTCTCACAATATCATTTTCAACATTTATCAGAATATACTGTTGTTCAACATACAGCAAAGGATTGGCACTTGAAGAATAAGATGTATTCTTATGTAGAATGTCTTAGCTCAAACTTCATATTAATGTATTATACAAAAGCCTAACACACAGCCATGCTTTATGAAAACCACATGCTGTCAATTATTTTATAACCATGCATAGCATATATTGATATTTTATTTATTAATCTATTTGGATAACTTCAATGTATTTCACAATTAGGGAAGAGCATGAGAGATAACTCCAGATTTCTATTTATTTACATTACTTGAACTACAGCAAATCTTTTATCAAATATATATCCAGTAGAGAGTACTTTTTAGTAGATATATATGAATGCACTCTTTATAGATTGGAAAGGGAAAACCATACATCTCAGAAAAAATATTGTATAGCATTTCTTGTTTATAAGGAATCACTTTGCTTCCTGGTGGAATTCAGAAAACAAAAAAGAACTGTTAATGTAAGGATGCAAAATACAGAAGATTCTACTTTCTAATCCTGAGATATTTCAAAGCTAAACATTTCAGATGGTGAAGTCCAATCATTTTTAATGTGCAAAGTAAATATTTTTTCTTCTCAAGCCAATTTCTATCTCAGCTTTTTCAAAATTTTGTGTTTCAAATAAACTTCACCCTACTTTAAAGTCTTTAAAGTATCCAAGCTCATAATCATTTCCTTTAGCTCTATGATCTCCACTTCTGCCAAGTGAATTATGGCTTTAAGAAATATTGCTCCAAATGCAAGTTTCAAGATAAATATGCCTACCTGAAAGCTATGTCCTCTGGGCTAAATCTTGCTAACTTTATCCAAAGCATATCCATTATCTCTTACTTTGAACATGGTCAGATTTACATTTGACGAAACATACTTTTATTGTGCTGGAAATCTGTTATCACTGCACTTCCTGGAAAAGTGAGGGATAACAACTAATAGAAAGAACGAGGTTCGGAGGCTCATCAAGGGAAACTTGCCCTGATCCTTCTGCCAACTGGGCCTCTTGCCTTGCACGAACTCACCCAGGCCGGGATCGTCCGCTGTTGTCGCCTCCACCTCTCCATCGCCGCCGCCGCCGCCGCGATCCATGCTGAGGCGGGGGAGGGGAGGGGGAAGGAGAGGGCGGTCAGGGCCCTCCTTCCTTCCTGCCCTCCCCTGGTTAAAGCCCCCGCCGCCGCCTGTTTTTAGGACCAGGCCTTGGCCCCTCTGCAGCTACCTCCGCCGTGGTTCTGCCTATCCTTCGATCGCCCGCCCTCCCTGCCGCCGCCGCCGCCGCCGCAGCGCTACGTGGCCCTCGCCGCAGCCAACCAAGACAGTCAGTCAGTCAACCTCACGATTACGTCCGCCCTTACCCCCCCACCTCCTCGTTTTTTCCTTAAGCGTCGCTCTCTGGCTAGTCCGTAGGAAGACAACGAATGCGCCTGCGTACAAGCTCTCGCGTGAGAGCGCGCGGCTTTACTCAGCTTTCCTTTTTTTTTTCCCCCCAGCGATTTCTGCTTTCCCCCGCCCGGCCTGTTTCTTGTCCGGGCATAAGCGCGAGTCCCTACCGTGAGCGCCAGTTAAAGAGCTTAGCTGGTCCATCGTCATCTCTTTATTTTGCCCGCTGTGGCAACGGCTTCTCTCGCCCCCACCCCCACCCCCCAGTCTCGTCCCGGGCGAATGAACGCGCTCACGTTACAATGGAAACATTGGTTGGCCAGCGCGTGCGTGGTAAAAATCAATGTCTTCGCGTTCGCGGGGTCATGCTCTTTGCCTCAGGTGAGAGCCGAAGACAAAAAAAAGGCGGGTAGGTGGGTGGGTGAGGGGGAGAAACAGCATAAAATATCCCCCACCATCTCTCTCTGCTGCAAGAAGCTTCTGAATATATGTGCTGAAGAAAGCCCATTTTTTCAAATAACATCTGATACATCCCAAAGGGCTTGTTAAAATTGGTTCACATTATCCATCGAATAAAACAATTTTGTCTTGAATATTTTAGTAGGCATCCTTGTTAAAAGTTTTTAATGTGAAATAAGCAAAACAAAACTTACTTGTTAAAGTTGGGGAAAAGAATTAAAAACTAATAGGTTGGCCCAGAAAAAGAAGACTGATGATCTTTTAATGTGTTAATGCTGAGCTCATCAGAAAGGTAAATCAGAAGCTAATAGCACATTTCTGTATATACTATATAGTGGCAACAGAATGAAAACATTGTAAAGGTTGCAGTGGGAATAGACTTGGGAAAGTTGCCGAGAGTGAGATGAGTGGTCTCTAAATTTCATAAAAGCTTCATAAAACCACATGTGGATTGATCTATAGAGGAATTGTACAAAATAATACAAGACTAACTTGAACAAATAATTCAGCAACTACAATGACATTTTTAGGTTATTTGCTGGAACATACTGTTGCCTAAGAAACTCAAGTACTAGAGTGACGTCAATCTAGTTCTTGAATTTGAAAGAAATACTCAGTTCCTTTGTAAAGTGGCTTTTTCACACACAACTTACCTACCCGAACTACAAATGCCTTAGACAAAACCAATAATTTTATTAAAACTGGTGAAATCTTCATATAAACTACAAAAAAATGCAGAAATTCAATATACAGTAGTCTTGCATCAAGCAAGCTACAAATGAAACAATAAAAGAGATTGATTAGATGTGAGAAAAGATAGAAACCATAAAAACATGTTGCATCTTCCTCCTCCCATTTCTTTAACAGCAATTAAGGATTTCAAAATGTTTAATTGTGAGTTCCTGAAAGAGGTGGTTTTCACACATCAAAGGAAATGGCTTTTGCCAAAAGGAAAAATACACTTTATCATATTACCAGGGGTGGGATTCTACCAGTTTGCACTTATTCGCTAGAACCAGTTGTTAACATCCTAAGCAGTTTGGAGAACCGGTTGTTAGAAGAAATTACTGGCCTAATCCTGTAAGGAAGGCAGGAAGGAAACATTCTGGTGTTCCTTACAGAAACTGCCTCCCCATTAACCCTTATTACATTCTTGGCAGGACTAGACTTCCTGTCTCTGGAACGTCTCTGGAGTTTTTTTCCCCCCTCCTTTGCTGGTACTTTGCTTGTATAGAGTGACCATTCAAAGTTACAGTGGCACTGAAAAAAGTGACATGACCATTTTTCACACTTACACACTTTCACACTGTTGCAGCATTCCCACAGTCACGAGAGGCCAGGCGAGGAGATGCGTGCCTTGATGTGAGTAATATTGACTGTCACACCCAGCCAATAACATGACCATTAAGCCATGTCCATCCAGTCACATGACCACCGAGCCACACCCACCAACTAAGCCACGCCCACAGAACCGGTTGTTAAAATTTGAATCCCACCCCTACATATTACTACAGTAAAACTCTTGTGTCTGTAAACTTTAACAGTGAAACAAATCATCAGAGAGCAACAGTTTTTGAAGTGAGGTACCTTAAATGGCTTAACTTACAGAATTCAAAATCTGGTATCCTGAGTCATATGAAATTAGAATTTGGCAAATGTTATAAAACATTTTATGACATAATACAAAATACCACAAAATGTCTGCTGTGGGTCAACTCCTGGAGATAGTGCTATACAGTTCAACATGGGCTAATTTCAAAGCAGATATATCTCTGAATATTTCCTTGAATTTCAACTTTTCCTGTGAAGGCCCTACATTAGCAGCTCTGCTTTGGTTGAGACATTGAGGAATTTGGTAAGAAAATACCTTTGAAATGATGATCCAATAGATCACAGATGGTTTAGAGCAGGGCTGTCAAACTCATGGCCTGTGGGCTGGATGCGTCACATGCTGGCCACGTCCATACCCGGTTTAGCAAAGGAGAAATTTTTTTTCAATATGTCATGTGACGCTGCTGGGAGTTTGACACACCCAGTTTAGAGATTTCCTAAAGTTCAAAATTAAGCACAGGTGCCATGCTAAAATACTGATTAAAATGCTAACAATAAAGACTAAAATTCCAGGTAACAATACCATAACAAACATAGGTTACCCAGCTCAGTGAAGGACAAAAATTGTGTAATGTGTGATGTTTATCTTCAATATTTTGTGTTTGATATTGTTGCCTTCAACCTCAATGGGATTTCTATGTGGCGAATAATTCTGACAATCATTGTATATACATTTAGAAGGCACTCAACTTCAGGGAAGCCTGTGATATATTATTGCAACAATAAATATTAATTTTGTAATGAAGGCTATCTAAATGGTTGGTCTAAAATCAATAAAAGCATTTTGCTTCCTTCTTTGGATTCTATCATTTAAATGGAGGTATATTGCACAATTCTCACTGGACATGCATAACTTTTAGTACTGGCTAGCCCAAATACATCAGTTATAATTGTTGATAGAATTTAGAAACAATTCAAATGCCCCAAAGTTCATCTCCAAGACAAAACTCTATTATTTATTAAATTTATTTAAGTCTGGGTAGTTTACATAATATTTAAAACTTGAAAACAAGACAATAAAAAAACTAAAAGATTGTAGAATAATAAATTTGGTTAAAAGGAGATCATCCTTTATCTTTAGAAGATAAAAAAAGATGAAACTAGCTATATCTAGTTTACTCTAATATTTTTCACTCATCTATATATTTCTGTCCTTCCAAACCATCTTTGCTCCCATTACTGTACAGATAATTATATAATTACTTTTTTCCCAATTTTATGATATACAGGAAAAGGCTGACATTGTGATTCCTGTGTGTATTTCCATTGGTCTTATCATATTTTACTCAAGGGTAATATAGTGTAGATGCTAGGTATGTTATAGATCGCTGTCTAATTGCCCAGGAGATGGTAACTGGATGGATGGATAACTCTTGCTGATATAACTGGCATCTTCCAGCATTGCTTAATCTTCTGAGCCAGGATTCCAGTTTGTATTCAATTTCATCTTTGCTTAGAATCTCAGGTTCCATCCAACTGGGCTCAAAATAGTGCTTATTGATAAGTCCAATTGCCATTCTTTTTATACAACTGAACAACTTTAATTGTACATTTTTCTATTGGCCACTCTTTATTGTCAATCTGTTCATTCATTTCTAATTTTTCTTGACTTTATTTTATTACACTTTTTAAGGAATCAATTTCTACTGCATTAACTTTTGTGCTTCTCTTGACATCCCCAATCGTACTTTGGCGATTATATACCCACCCAGCTCCTCACCTCCTAATAAAATGTATTTTAAACAAGCAATGCAGCAGATGAGTGGTCTTGCATTTTGCCGCTAACCTGTTTGTTATTCTGGATGGTTATTAGGCATTTGTGCTTTGGCCCTGAGAACTTAGTTTTGATGCACCTCCAGTCTTAATGCATTTTGTAAACAGAACTATTATTTATTCTCCTTTACTTTCAGAAACATAACGATTTGTTATGCATTATGTCAGATTACTTATTCATACTATTCTTAATTCTTGATTCTTAACAAATGTATCTTTTCTTTTATGTATACTGAGAATATTTACACCAAGACAAATTCCTTGTATGTCCAATCACACTTGGCCGATAAAGCTATTCTATTCTATTCTATTCTATTCTGTTCTGTTCTGTTCTGTTCTGTTCTGTTCTGTGGTTCTGTTCTGTTCTATTCTTTCTATATCGTAAGCTATCAGAATGATAAAGCCCACTTTCCCATCTCAAATTAATACTCATTTTTCATTATATTTAACCTCATGAACAGTTTTATTTGACTTCCACACCATCTCTTGTAAGAATGGAAGGAATTTGTTATTTTTACATGGCAAATACTCTATGCAATATATTCAACTAAACTGACCATCAAGAGGCATCATATGACCTGTCTAATCCTTATTATTAGAAATTTGACTCATGGTCCTACATAAGCCTTCTCTGTATCTTCCCCACTTCTATTGTCCATCTTTCAGTGACCCGAATAGTATCTTCTGGTAAGTCCATATATTAGAGAACTTCAGTTGAACATGCTGTGGAAAGATATTTTTAAACAAAATGAAGTTAAAATTAGAATGGCATCCATTAGACTTCAGAACTTACAGTTATTACCTACCTTATACTTGCCAGCCCCTTTTTAGTTTTTGTAAATTTTATTTGAGTTTTCACAAAGAAAAAAAAATACAAATAAAACATCTTTTTTGAAAGCAGCATAATCTCGGGTTACATTTCTTCGTACAGACACAAATTCAGGTTCATGCTCATTTTTATATTCTATTCCATATCTTATTACCATTTTACATTTTCTGCATAGCTTCTCCCCTCTTTTAATTTTCTCAATTTTATTTTAATTATCTCATCTCAATTCAAATCATTGTATTTATATTTTTTTGTCTGT